ACAGGAACAGCCCTCAGCTGACAACCAGCAAAGAAACAGCATCCGGATCTATAGTTGCAAGGAACTGGGATCTGCCAACAACTGAATAGGCAGGATACAGATTCTCCCCTAGAGCTTCCAGAAAGGAACACAGCTGGTCAACACCTTGACTTCATTCTGATTAAACTTACACCAGACTTCTCACCTATTATAAGATAATAAATGTACTGTTTTGAGCTCCAAAATTTGTGATAAACTTGATATAATAGCAATAGAAAACTAATACAGAATACAAACAAGAAAATATGGGAGGAATTAAAATGATATGCCAGCAGGTCAAAGAAGCAAGATTACTAGGAAAGGAACTTGATCATACTTGCCTCTTAAAAATTATCAACCTATGGGCTGGAGATATAGCTCAGTCAATAGAGTGCTTGCCTTGCCTGAACAAGGTCCTGGGTTCAATCCCCAGCACCACAGGAAAAAAAAATAGTATAAGTAGATTAGAAGATCACGAGTTCAAAGCCAGCCTCAGAAACTCAGTGAGGCCCTAAGCAACTCAGTGAAACCCTGTCTCTAAATAAAATATTAAAAAGGACTGGGGATGTGGCTTAGTGGTTAAGCACCCCTGGGTTCAATCCCCAGAACCAAAAAAAAAAAGAAATGTTTAAATTGATGTTGTGGAAACAAATCAATCAGACAAGTTCATATAGTGGACATATATAGGACAACTGCCTGGACTCATCAGAAATGCCAATATCATGAAAAATTAAAAGCAAAACACTGAAGAATGCTATTCTAGATTTAAAAAGACTCAACAATCACAATAACTAAACAAAATGTATGATCCTTGACTAGATCAGAACAAATGAAAAGCTATAAAAATATTACTAGGAAAATTTGACGGGACAATGTAGTAGTAGCATTGTATCAATGTTAAATTTCTTCAGGTGCAATAACAGAAATGCATGTTTTTATAAGAGACATGATGAAGTATTTAGGAATAAGTGTCATGATAACTGCAAGTTACTTCCAAAGGGTTCAGCAAAAAACTGTGTGTGTGTATTCAGAAAGAGAAAACCCATACAGCAAAAAGCAAGTAATTGATGAATCTACATTGATGATATCTTTCCACTTTTCCATTGGGTTGAAATTTTATAAAGTAAAAAATTAGTGAAGAAAAGTATTATTTGGATACATAAACTTAACCTTAATGATAATTATAAATCTTACTAGTAAATTTAGAAACAAAGCAATGCATTGACATTTTTGGCAGAACATTTTCTGAAAAATACAAGAAAGACAAAAAAGTAAGTAAGTAAGAAAACTGAAAAAGAAGCAACCAAACAAAGGAAAGCTGGTGAAAGTATATTAGTAGCAAACAAACTGGATTTTAAATGCAAGATAAAAGCATCACTTAAAAATAAAAGATTTGTCTATTCTAGACTTGTATATACATAACAACAAAGCCTTAATTCCACAAAACAAAAATTGACAGAACTACAAGAAGTTGACAAATTCACAATCACAGTGGGAGATTTTAAATCTACCTCTCTTGATAACTGATAGATTTAGCACAAAAAATTAGTAGAGATATAGATTTAAACAACACAATTAACAAGTTTAATGAATATTTATATAACCCTACATATAACAGTTAGAATATACAAAATATTTTCAGGTACACATGAAACAACTGATCATGTTCTCAAGGACATAAAGCAAACATTTCAACAAATACTAAATAATGTTTGTACTCAGCGAAATTAAAATGAGAAACAATAACAAAATGTTAAGATAAAAAGATCCATATACCCATGCCTCAGTTTCTAAATACCATCTCTTAGTACCAGAGTCCCATAGAGAAATGGTCAATGGAGTAGAAAATACAAGATGAGCCTGAAAGTAAGGAAGAAAAGAAATGTTAAAGTAAGTTAAAGTATCTATGAAATGATAGGACATGTCAAAAGGACAGAGGAAACAATTTGAATGGGCAGTCAATGACTTAATTTGGGCAATTGAGCATTAAATAATGATAGCAACATCCTATTTGAGAAATAAATTAAATATCTGTGCTCAAAGAAATGAATAAATACATGGAGAAAAAAGCTCTTCCTTGAAGTAGTATTTAAACTAGTAATGTAGTAAAAAAGATGGAGTTTGAAAATTATCATTTTTGTAGTCATCATGGTAATAACTAATTCAGTCAAGAATTAGCAATGGATGCAAAAGCTAGTGGAAAATAGTTTGATGAGGAACAGGATATTCACACAGTCTCAAAGTATTCCCAGCAAAATTACTAACTACAAAAAGAAAAATGGCAACTTTAGAGTGGGTTAATCTGGAAAACACCCAACACCTTAAATAATCAAAGTTAATATTACTCCTAAGGGGTCACACCAGCATCATGTGCCACCAATATGATGGCCTGAGAACAACACAATATTACTTCTGTAGTATTCCTTCCAACAATGATTATTATCATATTATTAATATTACTATATTAAATAGAGTGCATATTAAATATTATGTCTATATTATTCATCTACCACTGATCTACATCCTTGGACCTCTCAGAAGTTTTTAAACTGTGAAATTCAATCAAAAAGTTTAAAACATAAGAATCAAAATCAGCAATAATGCCATCAATAAATACCATACCCATGCTTTTTCTATGTACTTAAGGAAAATAACAGTTATATATTAACAAATTATATTGGGATAAGAAGCCAGATATAATAATATGTAACAAACTTAAATTGAAGAACATTCTACCAAATGATTGTCCTGTATTTTACAAATTGCCAATATCATGAAAGAAAAAAAATTGAAGGATTATTCCAGATTAAGAATTGGAAAGATAAAAACTAAATACGATATTATCATCCTAGATTGCAACTTCTACCAAGAAAAGAAAATAGTTATAAAAGACATTTTTTGAATAATTGTAAAATTAAAGTATGACATAGATAATAATACTGGAACAATGTAAAATTTCTTGTTTTTGACACATGTACCAAGGTTACATATAAGAAAGTCATCATTCTGAGAAAACACATAATGAAGTACTAACAGGTAAAGGGGAAGGATATCTGCAACTTACTATGAAAATGGGAGAGGGAATGAGGGTGAAAAAAATAATGATAAAGCAAATGTGGCAAAATGTTAATTGGTGAACCTGGGTAAAAGGGTATCTATGGGAGTTCTTTGGAATATTCTCTTGAACCCAGGGGCTCTTTACCATTGAGCTACATCCCCAGTCCTCCTTATTTTTTTGTTTTAAGACAGGGTCTCACTAAGTTTGCTGAAAGTCTCACTAAACTGATAAGACCAGTTTTAAACTTGAAAACGGCCTGCCTTAGCCTTCCCAGTTGATGGGATTCTAAGTATGTGCCAACCATACCCAGCCTCTGTAATATTCTCAGAGGCTTTATTTATTTTTTTGCTGGGCTAGGGATTGAATTTAGAGCCTCACACATGTTACACAAACACTCTACTATTGAGCTACATCCTCAGCCCTCTCATAGTTTTTAAAGTGTGGAATTAAATCAAAATAAAAAGTTTAAAACACAAGCATCAAAATCAGCAATAATGCCATTAGTAAATATCATGCCCATGCTTTTTCTATGTACTTAATGAAAATAAAAGTTATATATTGACAAATTCTATTGGATAAGCAGCCAGTGTATACTTTGTTGTTGTAATCAACATTAAAAAACATTTTAAAGCAGAAAAAATTGAGTTTAATGATTTTTTTAAATCATTAATAAAATTTATTAAAAAGGAGCCTATGTTTAGAAATTTTTAAAAAATACCTCATAGGTCAAAGAAGAAATCATTAGAGAACGTAGAAAGAAACAAATATTGAATGATTAAAAATACTACATATAGTAACGTGAAATTCTTCTAAAGTGGTAGACGAAAATTTATAGTCCTAACTTCTTATTTTAGAAATTAAGAAAAAATTAATGAGCTATAGGTCAAACTTTTTAAATTAAAGAAAGAACAAATAAAAAGAAACTCGAAGAGAAATATAAAAAGCAAAAATTATTAAAATAGAAAACAAAATACTCAATGGTGAATATTGTTTTAACCAAAAGCAGGAAATACATGAGAAAATTAATTATTGTAATTATCACATTATTACATGATCATATTGATGGAGGAAAAAACATAATTACAGAAGTAGATACAGACAAAGCACATTGCTAAAAACTCCATAACCATTCAAAATTAAAACTCTTAGTAAGCTAGGAATAGAAACTTTCTTAACACAAAAAAGAAAATCTACTGAAAAGGGTGAAACTTTCATAAAATTCTCAAGACCAAGGCAACAAAACTCTACACTGCTTTTATTTTTCCTTGTATTAAAGATCCTGGCTAGCATAGTAAATCAAGCTAAAAAAAATGGAAAGGAAGAAACTGCCATTATTCACATTATAGTTAAAAGATAATCTAAAAATCTATAAATAATTAGTACAAATACAACTCAGAAAAGCTTCAGCATATAAAATCAATATATGAAAATATCAATCACGTTCCCATTTATAACAAATTTTAAAATATGGTTAAAATATTCATTTTGCAGCAACAACAGAAACTATAATTAGGAGTAAAACTAAAAGAAAAAAACCCTTACAGACTACATTATTATTATTAGGTGTATATCGCTTCATATAATGTAGAAAATGGTTTAAATTTTATCACTGGAGCCAGCTTTTTGGTTTTCACTTGGCTGGTTTTCGTTTTTTAGTACTGGGGATTGAACCCAGGGGCACCTAACCACTGAACCACATCCCCAGCCCCTTTTTATATTTTATTTAGAGATAGGGTCTCACTAAGTTGCTTAGGGCCTTGCTAAGTTGCTGAGGCTTGCTTTGAATTTTCAATCCTCCTGCCTCAGCCTTCCAAACCACTGAGATTACAGGTGTGTGCCACACCCAGGTGGGTAGTTCTTTTTAATGAGTCAAAATCAACTCTTTTTCCTCCTTTACTTAATAAATTTTTAGTAAAGAGATTACCTTGGAAATCACAACTGCCAGGTGCAGAACATCAGAAAAAGCAGGGTAGCAGTGTAAATAATCTTCATTGGGTGAACTATTTTACGAATGCACCAAGGAAATGGAGTCATACTGCAATCCTTCAAAGACTGAAAAATAGTAAAATTAAGGTGAAATCACTTCAATTACTGTCCACTTCTTTTTTTCTGTAGCCTCCTCCATTCCTTAAGTTTCATTGTGGCCACATTTCAATGATATATTCCTACAAAACAGTTTCTCTGCTGAGTATCAGAAGGCATATACTGCACAGCAGTTTAGGGCACAGACTAACCAAACATTCTGAGTTCAAATCCCAGCTCAGCTACTTAGTGCTATGTAACTTCTGGCAAGTTACAAACTTCCTTTAACCTATATAAATCTCCTCAGTGGAGTTCTTGTGATTAAACAAATTAAAATATACAAAGCCCTTATTTATGGCCCATAAAAACTTCAGCAAAAACTTTTATTATAATTTTCAACAATTTGAATCACTAAGGAGAAATTACATAGCTCCTGCACTTCTTGTCTACACATCTTCCTTTGTTTTCTAGCTGAGCACTGCTCTCCCTATAGCCTATTCTATGGTACCTCATTACCTCTCTGGACTGACGTGAAAATGAGGGAAGTAAAATTCTATGGAATGACATCAGATGCTGTCAAAAGTGAAACAGAGCTCATTCTTTTCTATGCTCTACAACCACACCTCATGTCTAGAGCCTCCATGGTTGTCAGTTATCCCCTTATTCATTGACTTATTTACTCAAATATCTTGTTTCACTCCAGCTATGCACCAGCCATTATGCCTTGGTCATCCATCCTCTTAAAATTCCCAGCACAGGGCTGGGGTTGTGGCTCAGCGATACAGCGTTTGTTTCACACGTGGGGACTCTGGGTTCGATCCTCAGCACCACGTAAAAAAATAAATGAGTGAAATAAAGGTATTGTGTCCAACTATAAAATAAATAATAAATAAATAAATAAATAGATAAATTCCCAGCACAATACCTATGCAATGCAAATGTTCCACAAAGGTTTACTGTATAGATGAGGAATGATGCCTCTCTCCTTTGGATTATAAGGACCTCTGAGACTTGGGTCAAAATTGGTTTTATATTTTGCATTCTACAAAACTCATTTAAATAGGAGACTGCTTTTCTGATAGTAAGAACTAAATTCCTAAAATACAAATCATAACACTTGCTTGAAAATATTCTGTGGTTTCCACTGTTTATGGAATAAACATACTTATTTCCTTAGCATGTTCAAGGCCCTAGGGCACTCTGTCTTCACCTGCTAGTCCTTCTTAGAGTCACAATTACAGCCAAGCTGTTCCCAGAACAAGCATACTTTGAGGCTTTTGTTCTGGAAACCCTAGGCCTAAAAAGCATTCTATCTCCCTTCACATGGCAGATGTCACTCACCCTTTAAGGCCCACCCAAAGCTCACCCTTCCTCTTTGATAGCTCACTATTACTACCAGGAAGATTGACTTGACCCATCCTCCATACTTCCTGAATATCTTGAACAAGCAAACATTATGGCACTTGGGTTTGTACATCATATTGTGACTTTTTTCCTTATTAAACTCTCTCACCTTACACACAGAAAGACATACTTCGGAAGGCTCACCTTACAATCCCCTCTTTTTAGCACAGTGCTGGGCCTTCAATACAGTCTTGTTATGTTATTTTGAACTAGGTTCTTTTTAAACGGAAAATTTTGAAAAAACATACATAAGCAGAGACAACAGTATAATAAATCCCCACATAGACATCATCCTGCTTAATTTATCAACTCACGAAAATTTTGTTCATCCTCTGCCCCCACACCTTAACCCCACTTTCAAGCAAATCAAAATATTCAAGCCTATTTCTTTAAAACATTACAATTATCACATCTAAAATATTAAAAATAGGACTGGGGTTGTAGTTCAATGGTAGAGCGCTTGCCTTGCAAGCGTGAGGCCGTGGGTTCGATCCTCAGCACCACATTAAAAATAAATAAATAAAGATAAACATGTTGTGACCATCTAAAACTTAAATAAATAAATAAAATATTAAAAATATCTACTAAATGCCATCAAATATCCATCACTTCATACAAACATATCTTGTGAAAGGGCTTTTTAGTGCCTGCATGTTCTTTCTTCTATTTTGAAATTGCGGAAAGAACATGGAAATACGTAATTAAGCTTCGGAGAGCCTTGGGTGACCCAGATGAAAACGAAAGACTCTGACCTGGTTTCGGGTGGGAAATGTATATTTCACTACTTCTCCGGAGGAAGAGGGTGCGACTTCAGGCCGGCAGATGCGGGAGGAGGAGCGGAGGGAAGATCGGTACTACCGCCGTTGGGAGTTCCTTCCGGATAATCCCACCGCGGAGCGAGAAGGCAGCGCTTTTTGGGAGGCTTGGCTTCCCGCGTGTTCCCGGGTGGGAGTGTGGATCTCCCGGAGGCACAAGGTTGGTCCCCCATAAGTGTTATAGGACCCGAGCGACAGTTTTCTCCGATGGGCCCAGGCAAAGCTGAGACCTGAGATGGCGGCGGATCCCCTTCAGGAACCAGCTGGCTTCCTCCCGGTTTTTCCTCTTACCGTATTTCCTGTATCCTGAGACGTATATCCCTTCTCCGCCTCCGCACCTCCACCCCGCTACGTACCCGACCCCACTTTAACGTTTCTACCAGGAAGAGACTTAAAAAACTGCGTATGTTGTAATATAATGTTTTACCCTAGCGCCTCCAGATGTAACTATACAATCTATGCGAGAAGCTCAAATTTGCCTCTAAGTGGAAAATTATTCATGGTTTATCGATGTCTGTGTGTGGGAGCGTCACGCAGATTTACTTTAGAGCTTTACAATCCAGCTGCAGATGCACATCACAGAGCCATAAAATTACAACCATTTAAAAAGCAGTATACATACATGCTGACTGGTTGACTAGAGTGCAAAACAGCACATTGATCATGGAAAATGGATATATAAAATAAAGTCACCATATCACAGAATCCAAAATCGCTTTTTCTTTATATTTTAACAAATGTGTAAGCTTTGAAGGCTTACTATATTGTTTTCCACGTTTCAATATCTGGGAACTCTCTTGAGACTTGACAATTGATAACATTCCATACTTTAATTGGCAATATTTTTTCTTTCTTAAAGCCATGGAAAATAATGACTATTTTACTATAGGTGGTACGCCGTATATATGATAAGTCTTAACTAAAAGAAGGTACAGTGTGTCTTAAAAGAAAAGGCTTCTGGATTTAGACCTCATCATTCAAATAGCCCAGTTCCGAGTCCACTTTTTTAGACCATACTTTTCCAGCACCACCTTTGATTTTTTTTAATGACAGATTTCAATATTCAATATCAAAAGAGAACTGGAAATAAAATTGTGCCATTTACAAGCTCTGTGGTCTTTAAGTAATTAATTAAATTCTTCAAGTTTTGGTTTCCAGAGCATAATAATCTCTTCTTGCAAATCTGTTGCCATAATTAGGGCACTCACTATCATAACTACCTCCCATTTCCATCATTGCTACCTTCATCCGAGTACCCACCACTGTTGAGAGCCACAGCCGAAGGGGCCCCAGCAAACTTCCAGCTGCCAGCAAACTTCCAGCTGCCTGCTGATGATTGGCTCACAGCGGCCCCAGCAACATCTAGCTGATTGGCTCCTCTGCGGTGATGCTCATTGGGCTGTTTCCCTGCCCTTTCAGACCACGGAGCTGCTCATTGGGGGACTTTTTTGGCTCCACCCACATGACCCAGCCAATCGGCCTCAAGAGCAGGAGGATTGTGGGAGGTGGAGAGAAGCTTGTGTGGGAGAGAGAGGCTTGTGGAAAGCCGGTGGTGGCAGTTGAGGCTCTGAGGGTTTTTCCTGAGAGGCTGTTTTGTTTGGTGTGTGTGGTTCTAAAAATAAAGTTAGTTTCTTTTGACAAGTGGCTCCTGATTGTGCCCAGCCAGACTGCGGCACACCACAGCCCTTTACACAAATTAGGTACTCAGTAAATGTTTGGGAAATAAATAACCCTATTGTTTTGTATCAGATGCTACTAATAAAGACACGAAAATTAGGTATAGCAGTAGCCTAATGAAAAGATGTGAAGGAATATTGAGATAGTGATTGCTAGAAGAATAGTTGGTACAACACATAATGATTTGGGAGTCAGCAATGTAGAGGTGGTAGTTGAAGTCATGGTTATGGATGATATCCCTAAGAGAAAAGAGAAATGGGCTAAAAACCGAATCTTTTTTTCCAAAAATTTTATTGACACTTTTTAGTTATACATAACATTAGGATTCATTTTGATATAATTATCAAAGCATAGAATATAATTTGCTCTAATTCAGTCCTTAGTACTTCCCCTTTCCTTCTCCTCCTCCCCCCACCTGTTCCCTTTCCTCCATTCTACTGATCTTTTTTTAAGTAGTGCCTTGTGAATATACACAATGGGGAAATTCACTGTGGTATATTCATATATGTACATAGGAAAGTTAGGTCAGATTCAATCCACTGTTCTTCCCTTATCCCATCCCTCACCCCCCAACCTCAAACCCCTTCCTCTACTCCACTGGTCTTCTATTTTGATGAAACTTTCCATCTCCCTTTCTTTTCATTTATTTGAAAAACAGAATCTTGAATAGCTAATGACAGACAGAAGAAGAGAAGCCTGTAGCAAAGGTTGAGTAAGAGTGGCCAAAGTTAGAGATAAGAACTCAAATCCAGGAATTCTCAACCTTGGTGCTATTGACATTTGAGATCATTCTTTCTAATGGTGACCTGTCCAATGCATTGTAAGATGGTTAGCAGTATCCTAAACCAAGGCTCTACCCATACCATTTGCTAGTTTCTTTCCCTGCACCTCCCAGTTGTTATGACAAAAAGTATCTTCAGAAGTTAGCAAATTTCTTCTGGAAGGACAAGCCCCACCTTGGGAGTAATTGGTCTATCTCTAATCCTCCACATCTGTTCCTTTTCTAATTGTCATCTCAGGAAATTTGATGCTCTCCACTTAGTTGTATTTGTAAAAATGAAATTATGTAGTCTTTATTTTTTGAAGAACATTTTCACAATCTTTTACATCGATCTCTAAATATGCAAAACCAATGATATTAAAAGTTTAAATTAAGTTGTTCTACAGCTATGGTTTTAGTAAATTAAGAGACATGTGCTTGCTGTGGGAAGTGACAGGAATTAAAGTTTATATCAAATCCAGGAGGGTCTGATTTATGATAAACATTTGACTTGAGGTAAAAATGGTCTCAAATCTGTTGCCACTAACCTGGACTATTTACACTGCAACTAGATTTATTTAATTATTTTTATTGTGGTAAAATGTTCTTAGCATAAATTTTAGTATTTTAACCATTTCTGAATATACAGGTTAGTAATGTTATGTACATTCATATGATTGTATGACCAATCTCCAGAACTTTTTCATACTTATTAAACTCAAATCTTCATCCCACCCAGCTTCTGGTAATAATCATCATACTCACAACTATATTTTTTTTTATTTTTTAGTTGCAGTTGGACACAATACCTTTATTTTATTTATTTTTATGTGATGCTGAGGATCAAACCCAGGGCCTCACATGTGCTAGGCGACCGTTCTACCTCTGAGCCACAACTCCAGCCCCCACTCACAACTATGTTTTAATTTGTTTCTTTCTGTTATATTAGAAAGGTGTACTAAAGGTCTGGGGTTGTAGCTCAGTGGTTGAGTGCTTGCCTCAGGTACGTGAGGCACTGGGGTCAATCCTCAGCACCACATTAAAAGGGGGGGGAGCGGAGAGAGATTGCCTCCATCTGCAACTAAAAAAATTGTTTTTTTTAAAAAAAGAAAGTTGAGAGCTGGGATTGTGGCTTAAAGGTAGAGCGCTCGCCTAGCATGTGTGGGGCCCTGGGTTCGATCCTCAGCACCACATATAAATAAATGAATGGAATAAAGGTATTGTGTCCAACTACAACTAAAAAAATAAATATTAAAAAAAGAAAGGTGAACTAAAGCCTTTTCCTTGCACATTTCAAAATGAATATTTTCCCTTCATCTTCTCCAAATTAAGCTTTCTTCCAACATCAGTGAACCAGCTGAATGTGAATCATGGGACCAAAAGAGGCACTGTTAGATTGAAGAAATGTCAAGCCAGATGTGAGAAATGGTATGGACCCAAATTCCTTTCATAATTTATGGTGCTCAAAGGATGACAACAAAGAGCAAAACTAAACTCACTTCTGGGTAATAGTCACCTGTTTTCATTTAGTATTTTTTAAAATGAGAAATTGGCTAATTCATTATGATTTCTTTTGAAAATTAGTTTTTTATTTCAAGTGAATGGAGTTTTCTCTTATATATAAAAGATTTCTGTTTCTGTTCATTGATTTTAAGTACAAATTTAAGGACAAGAATCATCAAGTTCCTGTAAAATTTTTCTAAAATGAAAAATAAGAATGCTTTGGAGGGAGACTGTATACAATTTTTGTTTTATTTTATTAAACCAAATTTCACTAGGAATATTTGAGAATACAAAGATATACAAAGAAGATAACAAAAGGCCCATGTTTCTCTGCCTGGATAACCTCTAAAAACATTCAAGAAAATAAATAAATAAAAGATATAAGGTTAGGAAAAACTAAATCTCTAAAGATGATCATTATGATTGCTTTTTAAAAATAACAGTATGAGGGATATATGTGTGCATGCACATACACACTAATGTGAACTTCATCTACCTGTATATGTATTGATTTTTATTTCTCAAATCATAACAAATGTTGTTTTTAACTTAATGAAGTAGCTTGGCATTTTTTCCTCACTTCTCAATATTTCTTTAATGGCTATATATAATCCCATTGTGTGAATTTACCATATTTTTTAATTTAATTTTCCATGGATATGGACATTTAGGTTATTTCCAGTTTTTTTAACTGAAAATCAATTCATGTACCTTAAATTTCATCTTTATTATAGTACACAACTGAGTATTTTATTTATTTTTCATTTCTTTGAATATTTTCTTTTTAAAATTTTTAACTGTTGCATATTGATTATACAGAATAGTGGGTTTCATTGTGACATATTCAATTCATACATGAAACATCATTTGATCAATTTAACTCTCCAATACCTCCCCTTGCCCATCCCTCCCCCTGACCTCCTTATTTACCCTATTGAGGATCTATTTTCATGGGCTCCCATTTTCCCCTTTTTTTCTGTCTAGCTTCCACATATGAAAGAAAACATGGCACTTATCTTTCTGAGTGACTTATTTCACTGAACATAATTCCATCCAAATTTTCCTGAAAATGACATAATTTTATCCTTCTTTATGGCTGAGTAAAACTTCGTTGTGTATATACACCACATTTTTCCTTATTCATATCTGCTGATGGACACCTACACTTGTTCCATAACTTGGCTATTATGAATTGTAAGTAAATGAGGGAGTGCATGTATCTCCAAAGCATGCTGTCTCTAATTCTTTTGGGTAGATGCTGAGGATAGTATAACTGTATCACGTGATAGTTCCATTTGTAGTTGGTTTGTGGTTGTTGTTTTGTCTCTGGTACTGGAAATTGAACAAAGGGTCACTTTAGTACTGAGCTCAATCCCCAGCCCCCGCCCCCTTTTTTGTGTGTTGCTGGGGATTGAACCCAGGGCATTGTGCATGTGAGGCAAGCACTATACCAACTGAGCTAATATCCCCAGATCCCCAGTATCTTTTATTTTGATACAGTCTCATAAGGTATTTAGTGAGTCTCACAAAGTTGCTGAATCTGGACTCAAACTTGAGGTTCTCCTGCCCAGTCACTGGGATTACAGGCATGTACCACCAGCCATTTTTTAGGTGGTGGTGTTGTTTTGTGTATTTGTGTATGTGTGTGTATTGATACCAAGAATTGAACCCAGGGGCACTTAACCACTGAACCACATCCCCAGCCCTTTTTAAAAAATATTTTTTAGTTGTGGATGGGCACAATACTTTTATTTATTTATTTTTATTTGGTGCTGATGATCAAATTCAGTGCCTCACACATGTGAGGCAAGAGCTCTACCACTGAGCCACAACCCCAGCTCACATCCCCAGCCCATTTATTTATTTATAGATAGACAGCATGCCTTTATTTTATTTGTTTATTTTTTTATGCTGTGCTGAGAATTAAACCCAGTGCCACTGAGCTGTGCATGCAAGGCAAGCACTCTACCAACTGAGCTATATCCCCACCCTGATACCTTTTTTTAAATTAGAGCTTTTCAGTTATACATACAAGTTGGGTTCATCCCAACAAGCACATACCAGCCCTTTTTATATTTTATTTTGAGACAGGGTCTCACTAAGTTGCTTAGAGACTTGCTAAGTTGTGGAGGCTGACTGTGAACTCCCAATCCTCCTGCCTCAGGCTCTCAAGCTTTTGGGATCACAGGCAATGCACTACCCTGCCATTTTTAAGTTTTTTGAGTAACCTCTGTACTGATTGCCATAGGGGCTGTACTAATTTATATTACCACCAGCACTGTACAAAGGTTCCCTTTCCCTCACATCCTGAACAACTGAACATTTTAAATATATTTACCAGTTTGTGTATCCATCACCACTATTTAATCCTAGAGAATCCTTGTCACCACCAATAAAGAAAAAAAGATGATTGCCAAAAAAATTACTATGTAATCAACCACTCACAATACCCCAAGAGACCCAGGCCCTGGCAATACTAATAGGCTTGCTTTCTCTATGGATTTGTCCATTCTGGATTTTTCATATAAATACAATCACACAATATATGGTCTAATATAATATATACAAGGCTCATGATGTTATGAAGATCCAGATATCATGATGTATCAGCACTTCATTCCTTTTTGTTTTATTTTACTGTGGTGGAATACACATTATAAAATTTACCATCTTAACTGTTTTCAAGTGTACATTTCACTAGTATCTACACAGTTGTGCATCCATGTCCAGAACTTCTTTTAGTGCTTGGATTTGAATACAAGGCCTCATGAATAGTAAGCAGGCACTGTATGCATGAGCTACAACCCTAGTCTCTGAACTTTTAATCTTGTAAAACTGAAACTTTATGCCCATTAAATGCATACTCCTCATTCTCGTCTCCATCCCTTCTTCCCAGGCCTGAGCAACCACCATTCTACTGAGCAGTCAAAAAGTTTGACTGCTGTGCTAGGGATTTGTTTCAGTGGTTGAGTGCTTGCCTAGTATGCTGCAAGGTGATAGGTTCAGTCCCCTATGCCACACAAAGAAAGTTGACTTTTGTAGGTAATCCATATTAGTAGAATCATAATGGTATTTGTCTTTTCATGTCTGGACTATTTCAGTTAGCATAATATCCTCAAGATTCATTCATTATTTGTATCATATCCCAGAATTTCCTTCCTTTTCAAAACTAAATATAATACAGAAGAAGGAAATGGAGAGACAGAATGGAGGGATGGGTAAGGGGAGGCAATGCAGAATTAATTCTTTTTAAAATCATGTTATGTACATATATAAATATATCACAGGGAATTTCACCTTTGTGCATAAGTAAAAAGAACTAATCAAATATAAATAAATAGATGTGTGAAAGGAAGTCTAGTAGAGTACTGGAAGAAGAATGGAAGAGGAGAGAGAGGGACAGAAAACGGAGAGATCATGCAATAAGATCAAATTCCATGCAGGTGTGTGCTTGTTGGGATGAACCCAACTTGTATGTATAACTGAAAAGCTCTGATTAAAAAAAAAAAAAGGTATCAGGGTGGGGATATAGCTCAGTTGGTAGAGTGCTTGCCTTGCATGCACAAGGCCCTGGGTTCAACCCCCAGCACCTCACACACACAAAAAAAGATATCAAGGAAAAAGTCAGCATAATGAAATAAATAAATAAATAAAAGGGAGAACAATATACTAAAGAAAAAACTAAATATATAATCACATTTTGTTTATTTCTTCATCCATTTGAAGATACTGTGTTGCTTCCACCTTTGGCTATTATGAATAATGCTATAATGCTGCAGTGAACATAGGTGCACAAATATTGACAGGATCTCTCTGAGTTGCTTAGGGCCTCACCTCCCTAGCCGCTAGGATTATAGGCTTGCACCATGGAGCCCGCTTATGCAAGAGTTTATGCCTGGATTTTCTAATCTATTGGTCTGTATATCTGTCTTAATGCCAGTATCACACTGTTTTGATTACTTAGCCTTGTAATAAGCTTTGAAATCAGGAAGTAGAGATGTCTAATTTTGTTCTTTTTCAAGATTATTTTGGTTATTTGGAGTCCCATATGAATTATAGGATGGATTAATCTATTTCTACAAAAACTGCCCCTGGGATTTTAGTAGGATTGCATTGAATCTGTAGATCACTTTTGATATTATTGACAGCTTAATGATATTAAGTTTTTAAAGACATGAGCATAGGATATCTTTCTATTTGTGTCTTTAATTTGTTTCAGCAACATTTTGTAGTTTTCAAGCGTACAGCTTGTTTAAGTTAATTTCTAAGGTTTTTTTTTTTGCTGCTTTTTTATGAGTGGTAAGAGTAGAATTTAGGTGCTGGGGTTGTGGCTCAGTGGTAGAGCACTTGCCTTGCACGCATGAGGCACTGGGTTCAATCCTCAGCACCCCATAAAAATAAATAAAATAAAGATATTGTGTCCATCCACAAATAAAAATATATTTTTTAAAAAAGAGTAGAATTCATTGAAAAATAAAACAAGAACAGAACTCTCACAGTGAGGAGAACTGATAGCAGGTTTTCCCTTTTTGATGCTATTTTAAATAGAATTATTTTGCTCATTTTTTAATTATTCAGTGTGTGGAAATACAATTGATTTTTGCATAATTTTTGTTCCCTGCAATTTTGCTGATTTGTTACTTTTTAAAATTGGTGCCTTATAATTATACATAATAGTGGAATTTGTTGAAATGTATTTCTATATGCAGGTAACATAATCTGGATTGTTTCACTTAGCTTGTTGTTCTCTAGTTCTATTCACGTTCCTGCATATGATGTAATTTTGTTTTTTAAAACCATAACATTGCTAACACTATCTCTCAGAAATCTATTTGACTGACAGAAGTTTCAAGTTCAGAGAGACGTGGCTATCACAACATTCCACTTCCTTTTTGAAAAATCTTCATTTTATTATTTATTTGTTTTTGCAGTACTGGGGATTGAAACTAGGGGAGCTCTACCACTGAGTTATATTTCAGGCTCTTTTTATCTTTTATTTTGAGACCAGGTCTGTCTAAATTGCTGAAGCTGGCCTTGAATTTGGGATCCCCCTTCCTCAGCCTTCTGAGTAGCTGAGACTTAAAAAGTGTATGCTACTACATTTGGCTGAAAAAGTCACATTTTATTTCAAAGACTAAATTGGAAGATAAAAAGAAAAATTGCTTCTGAAATGAAATAATTTATTTTACAGATTTTCATACAGGATAATAGGTTCATTCTTTACTTGGACTATGTAGACAATCTGAAGAAAATTAATTTAGGTTTTGGGAATTAAATAACCTGCCTTTCTTGACTCCAGCATTTAAAAAATTTAATACAGTTCCTTGTAGATAACATGTTTTTGTGTTTTTTTTTTCCCCACAACCATCTTCATTGATCTGTTCTTTCTGCCTGGAATACACTTCCTGCTTTTCTTCTACTAATTCTTATTTATTTGTTAAATTGTTTAGTCACATCCTCCAGGAACCCTTCAGGAGTCCCTAATGGCCTAGGGGGTCTTTCCTTTGTGTCTTTTCAACACTGTATGCTTAGTTATTTCCATGACGCTTAACATTTTATAGTCGTTTATTCTCCTGGACTAAACAGTAAGAGCCTTAAGAATGAAAAATGTGTTTAATTTATTTCTTTATCCTCAGCATTTAATATTATCTTGCACACAGGACACTTAGTAAATTATTTATTTGAACAATAGAGACCATTTGAGTTATTATCACAATAAAGTTGTTAATCATACCTACCTATACATTCAATTTTAGAATCCAGCCAATGCTTTAGTAAAAAGAAAATACATTCAGGTAATTTGCATGTGCTAAATGTTTATTTGTTTTGCTGGAACCAAGAAAATGATGAGCAAAAATTCTCTTTTACCTCCAAATTCGACTCCTTTAACATCACCACCATGGTTATCTTATTCTCTCTCCTTTGCTTTCTCCTCAAACTGCAGAATGAAGAGCTTGCCGTTTTCTATCTGGGAGGCGGGCAGCGGAGGGAACCGAGTTTGTCACAGAAGCGGAGGAGGGTCTACAGCCTTGCTAGTATTAAAAGGGAAAACTCTGCTCAAGCGCCAAAGCGCACAGCCAGAGAAAGGAAGGCGAGCAGGAAGTCATTTCACAAGCAGAGCTGAGCTGGCACGGCAGCAAGACACACAGGGACTGAGACTGCTTAAGAATATCGCAGAAACTAGAGATTCAAGGTAACTACTCCATTGATCTCCTTGTCTTTCCTTTCCAGTAAACTGCTTCTGGAATTCAGGAGCTTCTGCATTTGAGCTGAGGATGCGCATGTCTCTGTCTGTCCTTTCTCTGTACGGAGAGAGGACTGCATGTTAAACCTACTGATTGGAAAGCAGGCTACAGATCCAAAAATAGGGGAGGCTCTTTCTGCAGGGCAATTCTGAAAACTCAGATTGCCTTTCATCATTTGGTTAATTGAAAAGTAAAATTTTTGTTTGTTTTTAAGCACCTGGGTACTGGCATTTCATTTTTATGAGCGGGCTAAAAGCCATAAGTATAAACTAATTGGAAAAGGAAAGGAATGCTACTGAGGATTTTCTCCTGCAAGTAGAAGAAAAACTATTTCTTATTTCTTAAAGTTGTTTTCTCCTTTTGTTTACACTTCCAGTTCAGCTGTTATCTACTCTGATTTTTTGTATCTCTTAATTGGAGCAACAGAAAAGGTGCGAACCACATTTAAAATTGGTGGATTCATTTTATAAGTGAGTGTATATTTCAGACAAACTGGTCAGAGAGGGGAGAGAGAGAGGAACGGAGGGCAAAGAAGGAAGAGGAGGGAGAGGAGAAAAAAGGGAGAGAGGGGGAAGAGATTAGGACAGAAGGATTTCAGATTTAATAAAATTGGAAGTTGGTCATTTATAAATTGTCTGATTTCCTTAGAAAACTCTACATTTTCAGGAAGAAATCAGGCATCTTAAGAAGAGATAATACTATAGTTTGTTTTCATATATTTGACATTTTTTTCCCTTTAGAAACAGTGGATCTTGGTTATAAGTACTACAATTAAGAAGATTATTTGACTGTAGAAAGGGAAGGATGAACTTGCTACTTTCCTCAGTGCCTTTGAAACATTGAAGTGTAAAGCTCAGTTCTTCTGGGCTTGCAGTACACAGCTGGGTTTAAGGACTTTTTTTTCATCTGGTTTAAATCATTACTTTACACATTGTCTCATTTACTTCCTCCTTTACAGAGACTATTATTTCTTTGATTTGCTGAGGCAAATAACCACAAATCCTTATCAACCTCTGATTTATACACAAGACAATAAATGAGACATTTCAAGATTCCTTAAAAAGCATTTGCCAAGCAAGCATTTCAAAAACTGATGGATGGTTAGATTTGAATGAATTGCTTTTTGCTTCCTTGGGAGCAAAACCAGTTGAACAGAAAATACTAAGAAAGGAAAAGGAAGAATATTAAAAGATTTTTATATGCAAATTGCAAATACATGCAAACAAATCATAATCTTTCTATTTGGGAAGTATGCCCTTCTTGACTTCATGTTATGATAATATTCCAGGGGCTCTTTCGAATTAGACTTTTTTAATTAGTGAGGGAACTACCTCCATTTTTATTTCTTAAAAAAAAAACTCTTCTCAGATTCTAGCTTTCAGTGTAAAATTTCTGAAAGAAAAATTATATTTGTGTTTAAAAACATATTTGTGATTGTACCAAAGAGAGGAAGCAGTTAAAAGTCCCATACAGCTCTAGGCTTAACTTTTCTGCTTCTGACTTCTTCCTCCAGAAACAAAGGCTGGGTCATTAGAATTCAGCTAAAAATTCTGTACTTAATGTAAGAGGCAAAATCTAATACCCAGCTTGACTCCTTAAATTGAATGTGACTCTCACTTATAGGATTTTAAACTACTAGTTGACCTGGGCAGAAGTCTCTTCAAAGCAACAAGAAAGAAAAGCAAATAATACATTTTCACTACTGTTTTCCAAATGCTTATTTGTACTATAAAATGATCTGTTTTATTGTACAATGGGGAAAAGCATTTGGGACTTTTGTCATTGTTTTTGGAAGAAATAAATAAGACCTCTTCTGTATTCAGAAACCTGCAAAATCTAATATATGTACATTTCTTGTTCTTAAATGTGTATTCAAAATGAATTTCTATAAATGATTTCCTTTTTGTTTCCTTTTTTTTTTTTTTTTGATACTGAGGATTGAACCCAGGGGTGCTTAACCACTGAGCCACATCCCCAGCCCTTTTTTAATAATTTTTTTAGAGACAGGGTCTCACTGAGTTGCTAAGTGCCTTGCTAAGTTGCTAAGGCTGACTTTGAACTTGTGATCCTCCTGCCTCAGTCTCCTGAGATGCTGGGATTATAGGCATGCACCACTGCACCAGCTTCTAAATGGAATTCTACTCATATACTGTGGGATTGTGAAAATAATGTCACATTTTAGTGTGATTTAGTGTTACATTTGTTTGTTGGTGATTTACTCATCATTCAATAATTATTTACCACAGGCTTGCTAATCACCAGACTCAGTGCTGGGGATGCGGAAGTTTAAATTAAGATTACTTTGTGGGGCTGGGGTTGTGGCTCAGTGGTAGAGTGCTCGCCTAGCATGCATGAGGCACTGGGTTCAATCTTCAGCACCACATAAATGTAAAATAAAGATATTATGTTCACCTAAAACCTAAAAATAAATTTAAAAAAATGTGCCCAGTTGCTTCTAACAATTAAGGTCTCTAGGATTACCAACATCTTAAAAAAAAAAAATTACTTTGTGGGCTGGGGCTATAGATCAGTGGCAGAATGCTTGCCTAGCATGCATGAGGCACTGGGTTTGATCCTCAGCACCGCATAAAAATAAAATAAAAGGTATGTGTCCACCTACAACTGAAAAATAAATCTTTTAAAAAAGATTACTTTGTTGCCTTAGGGCCAAACAGATAAATAAATAAACAGTTCTAGTTCTAGTAGGGGCTGATAAATTCTCCAATAGAGATACTTATAAACTGCAGTGATAATGAATATAAAAGAATGGGATGAAAAGTTAGGATATTTCATTTTAGAGGATTTCAGTGGATCACTATGAGACTTCTTTTGCCATAATCAATTCAGTGAAAAGCAATCTTTTATTGCTTTTCCTGAGACAAGCTAAGGAAACTAATGTAACCTACCATCTGTTAAGCATTTATGATATGCCAGGTGGTGTGTTAAGTACTTTATTTGCCTTAAATATAATTTTCTCATCTTATTAATTAGGGTATTTTATTGTATCCATTTTCTGGAAAGGAAATTGAGGCTCAGAGAAAAAAATAGTTTGCCTAAAATTACTCAGCTAGGGGCTGGGGAATATATGAGTGCTTGCCTCACATGCACAAGGCCCTGGGTTCAATCCCCACCCCACAAAAAAATTATTCAGCTAGTAAGTAGCAGACCTGGGATTCAATTCAGAACTGCCCAAAGCCACTATATTATATTATTTCACAAGGAGGGACCAGGAGCATGGGGTGGTTAGAGTAAAACAAGGCATTTCAAGCAGAAGGAATCATAAGTTTGAGGCATGTGAACATGAAAAAGTGGATGAGTTTGTGGAACTGACCTCATTGCATTGTTACAAATAATTAATTGAGTGATCACATGAAAAGGGGTCAGAAGAGAACTAGTATATAGTAAGTGCTTTGTAAATGTTAGCTATTTTTAGTATAGCTCATATATTACTACTATTACTGTTATGTTAAGGAGTAGAAAGCCATATGAGTTTTTTTTTTTTAATCCAAGATTTTCAAGTTTAATAAAGAAATAGGAGGAGGTTGACCTTATTTGGGACTTGAATTGGTCTTTGAAGTACAGGTGGATGTCAAGGAGAAGGAATAAGGTTTTACAGGGGTGGGGGAGATGTGAATAAAGACAAAAGACAAAACGAAAAACTCACAACCCCCCCCCCACAAATTTAAAGCAAACATCATTGACAATGATCAATGACCTTTATCTTTTTATTTTCTATGTGTAAAAAAGTCTTAGCAGATAATGATCAAAAGGGAGCAGTATAGCATAGTAGTTAATAACATGGACACAGGAGTGCTATTGCTTGAATTTGGACCAAAACTACTTATTAGACATATGTTGGACAAGGTGTTTTTTTGTTTTTTTAAATCAGGGATAAACTCATCAGCTAAGAACAATACCTAGCACATAGTAAGTCCTATATAGTATTAGGAATTCTTGTAGATAGCTTTAAATTCCAAGGTAAGGGGTTTGAATTTGATGTATAGGCAAAGTGGAACCACCAGAAATTGTTAAACAGATATGACATGATAACAACTAATCTGATAGCAAAATTTTAAATATCTTGGTTTGGCTGTGTGTTAGCAGGAGAGACTAAATATGATTGGGTAGCAACCAGAGATGGACAGACCAAACTGGAGATTCTTATATGAGTGAAGAATAAGAATAGGAAGTAGCAATAATAAACTGTATGCAAGAGATATCATAAAGAAATAATTTCTAGGTTAGTGAGAAATATGGATGAGAAGAATGAATAAATCAATAGCATGACTGAGGTTTCTGAATTTCAAATTCAGACTACTGAAAAAATTGTGGTACTACTGATGGGGGGAAAAGTCAGAAAATTTGACCTGTTTGGGCTGGAAACATGAAGAGAAATAATTAATAATAACTTACTTTTTAAAAAACACTTTGATGGGCTGGGGATGTGACTCAAGCGGTAGCGCGCTCGCCTGGCATGCGTGCGGCCCGGGTTCGATCCTCAGCACCACATACAAACAAAGATGTTGTGTCCGCCGAAAACTAAAAAATAAATATTAAAAAAAATTCTAAAAAAATAAAAAACACTTTGATGTACATGAGTGATTTTGAACATGCTGAATTCAAGGTGCTGCCAGGGCAGTCAGAAAATGTTGCTAATATAGAACTGAAGTTTAGGAAAGAGAAAGAGGTCAGGATTTGGAAATCATAGAGAACGTGTACAAGGGTGTACATTATATCAGGAAGTTGAAAGTAATCTGGGTTTTCAATCACTGGGAGAGTGAATGGTAAAATGTGGTGGGTGCACATTAGAAGCAGGTGCCACAATTAGAAACAGAAGATTAGATACAATCATAGAAACAAAAAGGGATCTGAGTAATATGGTGCTGATAATGAAAAAAAAGAACAAAATATATAATACAATAATATATATATATATATATATATATATATATATATATATATAAACATAAAATCCATTTTGCAAGAATGCATACAAACAAAAAGATATATACTAAACTTATCAGAATGGTTGTCTGTGTTGGGGGCAGGGACAGAAATGGAAATAGAGTAAGAGAATAAAGTAAAAGAATTAAATGAGCATCATTGAGAGGGGGCCTTGCATGAACTGTGATAACCTGCCATCATGAAATGAGGAATTATTATCGTCTGAAACATGTGCATTTAGAAGGACATTAGGAATCATTGCAAAGCTAAATCATGCACTATTTTCTCTATGTTGTCATCCTCAAGCTTAGTTAATTAGTAAAAGGTCGTGCTTTTGCTTGAGTTTCTTGATATGTACAATGTGTATGTGTGGAAAAATGTTTGCTTATAAACAGAATGGGGACATCCTGTAAATCCTTACTTAAAACCAATTTGTTTTGCTTTTGCAGGTCAATATGGCCATGCCAGAAAAATCCAGTTGTACCAAACCAAGTGAGGATTTCAGTCATTTCCCTCAGATTATTGAACTCAATGTCGGTGGTCAAGTGTACATCACCCGATATCCTACTTTGATCAGCATTCCTGGTTCCCTGCTCTGGGAAATGTTCAGTGAAAAGAATCTTTGTTCCCTGACCCAGGACAACAAAGGGAGGTTTTTCATAGATCGAGATGGTTTTCTCTTTCGTTATGTGCTAGACTACATGAGGGACCGGCAAGTAGTGCTTCCTGACCACTTTCCAGAGCACGGTCGGCTCCAGAGAGAAGCAGAATACTTCAGGTTGCCAGAACTGGTCAAGATGTTGGCTCCTAAATTGAATAAGCTCAACTCAGTTGGCAATGACCTATGCCAAAATGACCTAGAAGAGCTATCTCCCAGCATTGACACCATGTTTAATCCCTCTTCAAGTAGTATTGTCCATATTAGTGGCCCTGATAACCCTCTAGCTCTGACAGCAGGTGCTGGTTCTCATCTCAAGAAGGCAGGCTTCATCACTATTGGCTATCGAGGCTCTTATACTCTGGGTCGGGACAGCCAAACAGATGCCAAATTCCGCCGTGTGGCCCGAATCATGGTGTGTGGTAAGATCTCCTTGGCCAAAGAAGTGTTTGGAGATACTCTGAATGAAAGCAGAGACCCTGACCGCCCTCCTGAGAGATACACTTCTCGATACTATCTCAAATTCACTTTTCTGGAACAAGCCTTTGACAGACTAGCTGATGCTGGCTTCCACATGGTAGCATGCAACTCCACTGGCACCTGCACTGTCACACATGACCAAACAGATGACAAGATCTGGACCTCTTACACTGAATATGTTTTCTACCGTGAGTGACACTAAAAAAACAAAAAAATCACCTGGAAAATACAAACCGAAAAGTCAACTCTCTTTCCTCTCTCTGTTCCAGTGTCAACTATCTCCTTTAGAAATAGACACATTACTCTTAGGCTTTGAGTCCTCCGTCTAATCATGGACAATGTCACTCCCGTCACTGTAACCAGTTGAACCTTATTTGGAATTTTCTTCTTACACATCATGCCATTTTATCTGGCTTCCAACCTGCCTTGGGTTGTATATTTGGATACCTTCTGAGGGAAAGTATTAAATGTGAATAGGCATGTCTATTCACATCGCTATAGATAGTAGAAATGAATTTGTTGGGTGAATACAGATAGATCGAGCCACAAAATTTAGTTAGTTGAGAAATGCTGAGCCATGGTTTCCAAACTTTCTTAGCACCCCACCAAAGTGTGGATATGCTTACATGACTTATTATCTGTATTCACCTAGGTAAAGCCCTGAATTTTTCATTCTGAGCTAGAGATTGCTATAGTAATTATTAATATGCTTTTTTTTGGGCTGGGGATGTGGCTCAAGCGGTAGCGCGCTCGCCTGGCATGCGTGCGGCCCGGGTTCGATACTCAGCACCACATACCAACAAAGATGTTGTGTCCGCCGAGAACTAAAAATAAATAAATTAAAAAAAAAAAAAAAATATGCTATTTTTTCTTTTTGCAGTAGTGGGATCAAATTCAGATCTTGCATGCATGCTAGGCAAGGCTTTTACCACTGAGCTACATCACCAGCCCAGGAATATGCTTTTTAAAAAGTAAACACACACACACACACACACACACACACAGTTGCTATTATTTTACCAGGCTCAGTGGAAGAAGTTGACAAGGGTCCTCCAAAAGGTTCATAGAAAGATCAACCAATTCTCAAACTATCAATTGCTCTTAACAGAATGTGGATGAAAAGAGCCAGGCGTGGTAGCACATGCCTATAATTTCAGCTACTCAGGAGACTAAGGCAGGAGGATTACAGTTTTGAGAATATCCTGGACAACTTATCAAGACCCTGTCTAAAAAGGTCTGAGGATGTAGCTCAGTGCTTATCTAGCATGTGTAAGGCCCTGGGTTAAAAAAAAAGGTGGGTGAAGAGAACAATTTCTTAAGTGATTATTTTCAAGAATAAAAGGCTTGGCACTGAAATTCATTTTACCTGAGAAAAATAGGATGAGTACCATGGCTATTACACAGGTATAAGCAGATATGCCATTTTAAAACACTGCCCCCAAATACCTGTTTTATTCATTAGCATTGAAATGCAACAGTATATAGATAGGGGAAGGGTAAGAAAAGAATTGTTTTATGTAAATATATATATATATATATATATATATATATATATATATATGTGTGTGTGTGTGTGTGTGTGTGTTAATTTGGTTTTCACTGGTCAAATAGTTGGATGTATATGTCAGCTGTTAACTTGTTTTTTCTTGACTAGCTAAAGTGAGTATGTATGTTTTTATCTGGGAGTGGGAATGGGAGAAGGTAGAAGATGAAGAGGAAAAAAAAGAACTAAAAAAAACAATAAATCAAAATTCATCTTCTGAAGCCTCTACTGATAACTTTTTATTATACAGGTTGAAAGTAAACACCCTCATAAAAAAACATCAGGGAATTGAGACAAATGATTGGCTTGCTGGAGATGATGAGACAAGTCAAGAAAAAGAAACTTTGAGGGCCCACTTTAGAAGATCTTTAACACTATTTTGAATAGCTTTATAACACCCCAGTGATCAAATATCCTTCTCTTCCTTTATTCTTTGCTTTTTTGTCCCAACATCAGCCTCTATTTGTGCTTGTTACCTTTCGAATGATTTTCTAGTCAGGTTTCTTGGATTGCAAGGAACTAAAACCCATTTAAAAGTGCATGCATGCAGGGGTATGATTGGGTGGGCATTTTAAAGATCTGTTTGCCTTATAGAGTCCAATAACAGGAAATTAAGTCCAATTGAGTTTCAAAGGCCTAGGGAGGTGTTAAGAACTGTTCTCTCTTGTCTTTCAGAAGCTACATAGCTCTTCTTTCATCATATCCAGAATCTATTAGTTCCATATTTCTCCTTCCACACAGATCACCTTCTTTTCCTCAGCTTGTACCTGGCCTAAACAGTCATGTCAGCTCTTATGTGAACATTAATTATTAGCCATTGTTTCCATAGTTAACTTTATTGTTGTTGTTTTTTTCTGGTACCAGGGATTGAATCCAGGAGTGCTTCACTGCAGAGCCACATTCCCAGCCCTAGCGTTTTCATTTTTAAAAACAGGAAGCAGGCTTCTAAAATATAAGATTATGGAAATGGAGGAAAGGCATTCAAGTGCTGGTCGGCCCTAAACATGGCAAAGGTCTGAGACTCAGAAGAAAGTCAATTGAAGTGGAAAAAGTGTTAAAAGTGTTAAATCATCCATGTGGGGAAAATTTGCAATATCATCAATGTTAGCTTATGAAACTTATTTTATATATCCATTTTTTAAAAAATATTATCATTGGTTCTATATCTTCAAAGTAGTTTTAGGAATTTGCATTAGTTTGAAGAAAAAAAAAACACCAAAAACCCAGGTGACATTATTATGTGTTACTTCACCAAAGTAGCAGTTATCTTTTTAACATAAATTTTCTATAACTTATTGTTTTAAGGTAGTGGAGTTCAAACTTTGGCTAATGAAAATTTAAAAAGAAAAAATTCTTACTGGGATTTCTGTTATATTAAACAAATAAAAGTAATGAACAGGCCACTCAGCTAATATCCAATGTCTTATATTTATCTGGGAATCATAAGGTTTTATGGTTCAAACCATAAGCATGGTTTAAGAACTAATTGTTTTGAAGTCAAACAGATTAGTGCTCTAAGAGGGCAGAGGTGAGGAATTTTAGACAATGTACAGGATCAGTTTAATGAGGAACTTGTGAAAACCCCTAGTTTTAATTTCCCTCAATGGAAGAGAACTTGGCTATTGAAGAAGTTGTTAGTGTTTCAAGGAGAAAATCGGCTTTACAACCATTAATTTGGCCTAATATCTAATTTTTAGTTAATACCAATTTATACATGGCAGACATAGTCTTGGGTATTTACTTGTGTTATTTTTTTTTAAAGAGAGAATTTTTAATATTTATTTTTTAGTTTTTGGTGGACACAACATCTTTGTTTGTATGTGGTGCTGAGTATCAAACCCGGGCAGCAGGCATGCCAGGCGAGTGTGCTACTGCTTGAGCCACATCCCCAGCCCAACTTATGTTATTTAATTCCCAAAACTTGTCCTGAGAAATTGGTACTGTTACACCAGTTAGTTTGAGAAAAAATTTTTTTTGGTACAGGGGATTGAACCCAGGTACACTTAACCACTGAACAACATTCCCAGCCCATTTTATTTTTTTATTATGAGACAGGGCCTTGCTAAGTTGCTTAGAGCTTTGCTAATTTGCTGAGGCTGACCTTGAACTTGCAATCCTCCTGTCTCAGCCTCCTGAACTGCTGGAATTATAGGTGTGAGCCACTAAGCCTGGCAATGTGTATATTTTAAGAACAGAAAAGTGTATATTTTAAGAACAGAAAGAGAGATAAGTAGCAGTCTCTTAATTCAGGTTCTTTTGTAGAACCTGAATCTAAGGGAGCTATAATTAATCATGTAATTAATCACTTATCTACTGTTTCAAAAAAAAAAATCCATCAAGTACCTAACAACCCACCCCCTAGAGCAGACCGGTACCTCCTGATCCACTCCTAAAACTTCTAGTACTTTTTGTTAATAAGGTGAACCAGTTAGTAATGACCTGTTTTTGAAATATGATTAAAGTTTCTCTCTCCCACAGACTATAGGCCCCACATCTTGCATATCATTTTATCTCTAATGCCTGGCACATGATAGGTGATCAAAATATATTTGTTTCATAAATGAATAATTGATCACCTTCCTAATGAATGAGAGTTATGCATCAGGACTGGGGGTTACGTGATAAGAGAGGCAAAACATGAGATACATGGTACACACTGATGATATCCTATGCTTAGTAATACCTGATTCTGGATCTAAACTGATGTAGGGATCAATATGGTTTGAATACCTTTCTCTGATGAAAATAAATTAAGATAGAAGGTACACAAACCATGCACTAATCAAACATAGGATGTGGAATTTCTCTAACAGTAAAACACAACCCAAAAATATAAACTACTAGAAACTTTAGGGACAAGGTGAGAACCAAATACAAATTTGTATGTAACAATTATGTGGAGAATCTTAAATCTGATCTCACTATGGCTTATATACTTCTATTTAAAGAATAGTTAAAATTAATTTGTGGCTCAGATTAGTTTTCAGTTGTTGAGATTTTAAAAGAAGGCATATGGGGGCTGGGGCTGAGGATCAGAGTTAAAGCACTTGACAAGCATGAGGCAATGGGTTTGATCCTCAGCACCACATAAATATAAAATATATTGTGTCCACCTAAAGCTAAAAAATAAATATTTAAAAAAGAAGGCATGTGGCAAAGTTAGGGTGTCACTAAGAAAATCCTGCAGGCTGCTATGTTACCTTGGTGAATTCCTTACAGTTAAGATCTGGCCCTGAGCCTAGTTAGCTCAGAAACATGTTTATTCACAGTAGACAAGCTCACAAGGGGCTGATTTTACCCATTATTCTACCTGTGAAAACCTCTGTGCATTAAATTATTAATTTATAATAATATATAACTTGTCAGACCATAGGATTGTATTCAACAAAGAGTACATTGTGTCATTTAGTCATATATATATATGTAAAACAAGATTATAATGGTTGTTTATATATTACTTTTTGCAGTAGTTTTTAAATTTTAAGAAAATTAGAACTTTTCTGTAATAAAATTTGCAAATATTTTCCCTGAAAAAAACAAAAAGATTATAATACCAAGATTGCTTGGTTAGTCTAGAATCAGAACTTGGAGTCAGGGTTTGCTGTGACTTAGAAGTTACTAAATCTTTAAACTGACTGTGTATAGCTCTGATCTGACCACTGTGTGTGAATCTTATAACATCTCTCAGAGGGCCCTCTTATTTCCTACTCTATACATAGTCTGATTCCCAGAGGGTAATTCTTAATCAACACACAATTCTGGATG